TCAACTGAGCTTGGTTGAAGCAAGGGTAGCACATTATGTGAAAAACAAATAAATACATCTTGGGTGTGTCACACTCAAAAGCATAAGCCATGTTGAAGGCAGTGATCATACCAATCCCGGTAATCAAGACCCATGAGAGCTAACTATCATTCTCGCAAATATTTTGTAAAGATTTTAAAAGCATAGCTCTGATAACTCGTGTCACTGTGTTTAAGAGCACCATTTTTAGCTTGCCAGTGATTTGCAAGAGACAAAGTTACTCATGACTCACGTATTGCTACAGTAGGTCTATAATTGAGTTTGAATCCAAAACCTGGTATAGACTCATCACTGGTGAATCTCAGCCACATAATTGAACCATATGACACAAGTACATCAGGTAGGGTGTATCCAGTATATGCAGCTTGGATGTTCTTATCGATATCATCACCAGAACCAACCCACAGGTAGTCCTCTCTGAAACATACAAAATCAACTCAGCATGTGTAATAACACTGAAAATGTAAATTCCCAACAATCATGGAAGGAGCACTGGCATTAGAGGTAAGATGTTTTTGCTCATACAGGCAGTATATGTGATAATGGGCAAATTAGCTACATGCTGGTAATACATGTACATATAGTCATGCTGCACATTACCCCCAAGGTATGTACTGTAGAATACTTTATTTTCGCTTCGAATTTATTTTCGCTATTTTCGCTGAAGGGATGATTCCGTGAAATTAAAATCCAGCGAGCGAATATACTTTTTTTCCTATATTTCACATTCAACTCATCAAAAATCAGTGAAAATAAATTCCATACAAAACGCCCAAAAAGCCTTTTCGGCGAAAATTTATTCCAGCGAAAATAAATTATTCCACAGTATGTACCAAATTTGATCAAAGTCTTGAGAAGTTTTCAAGATTTTGTTTACACAGGCTGAAATGATGCAATTAATATGCAAATTAGCTACTTAATATGTACAAACAAGGCCTACAACTAATCATTTATGCACATTACTCCTAGATACATGTACCTATACATTAAATTTGATTAAAATCTGCTAGGTTTTTGAGATTTTGCATACACTGGCTGAAATAATATAATTAATATCCAACTACAGATGTGGCTCCAAAACAAATCACCATTGTGCATTATCTCAAGATACCAAATTAGATCAAAATCTGCTCATAAGATTTTGCTCACACAGGCTGAAATGATAATATATATGCAAATTAGCTACTTGATATGCACAAACATTGCAAGAAAAATCATCAATGTAGAACATTTCAACCTGATTAGATCCCTTGTATGCTTCACAGACATACAGAAGCTAATCATTGTTTTCAAGGTGATTTTATAGTCCAAAAATAGTCACACCTAAAGGATATTGGTTGCATGTCTTAGATCTATATATTTTCCTGTAGCTGATTTGACCATTTATCCTCTTACCTGTACTCTAAATCAAATACTTCAACAAACTGAATCTCCACACGATGGTCCTTGTATTCATCTGGCAATCTGATGTACCAGATACAATCTTGACTATCTGGATACGTGTCTGGATAGTTGGGTGATGTTATGGTACCTTCTGGATCAGTGACATTTGATTCACCGCATGCTACAACTGATGAACGATGAAATTAACACATTCAATTAAGTTACCATTCCTTACAAAAGTAGAACTTGACAATGAACAACTTTCAAATGTTATGCACTAGCCTTGTCAACAACAAAATTTTCCATAGTTCTGCTGGTGTTTATTTTGTTTGGTTGAGAGTCTCCACCACAGAATAGCACATTAAAAACCTGATTATTTTCCTGTTTAATAGCGCAAGGTTATGGTGAGGATATATAATATACTGAGACATTATGAATAAACAAACGTAACCATCTACTGTTCAAAAACCCAATGGTAAATCAACTTTAACCACAAACCTTGACTTGGTAGTGAATCATATTCTAGATAAAATCCCTGGTCAATATTGCTCTCATCTGTATTAAACACCAACCACATAGCATAGTCTTCACTGACGAATGTCAAATCATCTTCTGAGATACCAACATCTCGTTTGGCTAATCGCCTTGTCTCAGGTGTATCAGTGAGCCAACCTGAGAGACGACTGATTATTCGTGTTCCAGAAGTCTCTCCAGAACCAAAAGTCAAAAAGTCATGGTTGAGTTCAGTGAAAAACTGCAGGATATTGATGCGTACAAGTAAGCCCTTCTCCACTGTGATCGTCCATGAGATTTGCTGTAAAAACATAAATATTATTATACCACCTGATAGAATTCTTCTGCTATATATCTCAAGACCTGCTTTTACAGTCAGCACAGAATATATTAACAATTCCCTCATATCTTGCCATGTTAATACCTCCCCAATTGACACCATATTTCTAGTCTCTGTTTCTGTATTTTTTAAATTTCATCATAAAATAATGTTAATCTCTATTGTCAACTGGTTCTGCATGATAAACCTAAAATATATTAAAAATAATAATACAAGCCATTGCTCATATTTTAAAATTTCATATTCTTTCTTATATAAAACTAATCTGAATCTGTGTATGAAACGTCTAACTCTGAACAAGATGAGAGAGACACCAACAATAAAACCCCACTAGCTACACGATATCTTTAATAGCCATGCATACAGTTAGTAAAATGCAGGCCATGAAACCTAACTATTTACCTGGTTATTTTCATATGGTTCTGGCCAGTTTGGTGAGCTGAAATTCCCAACTGGGCTTGTGAGTGTATATTCTTCCTCTGGTGGAGGTTCAGAAGGTGGAGCTACAAAAAAAAAAGATGCTTAGATATTGCTTAAATAGACAAAGACTAAATGTGTGATACAAGCCAACACTAAACATAGCCCAGTCTCAATTCTTATTGATGATATATACGATTTATATTCAATAATGCATTTGATTTCCCACCTGACTATTTTGGAGTTCTTTAAGAGTTCCTAGTTAAATTGTTAGTGAAAGGACTATGAGTATGGTCTGTGTTTTACAAGATATGTGATATTCCAAATGTTTGATTCAATATGAGTCAAATTGCAAGAAAAGGCATAAATACGCAATGATATTTAAAATAAACAACTATAGGTTTCACTCAGTTGCATTCAGTACTTTTAGAAATCTATGTTGCCCATCTTGCAGTTTTATGGTTATCTAACATATCATGTGGTTTCATAAGAAGTCACACGTATAGCATGTTAGCCATGTGCCATTATTTGAATATTTGGTAATTTTAATAGTCAAATAATTTTCAGCCAGCCAGCCAAATAAATCAAATTTAATTTTGTTTACCTTCATCAGTGGTTGAGAATGAGATCTTAAAGTACGGTGAATTAGTTGCTATTCTGCTGCTCTCATACACAATCCAAGCTTCATTGGAAGGAGACACCA